GTTAAAGGTGTAATATCTGGACAAGGAATGTACATGCATCAAGTGGTTTCATTCAACTCTTATAACCTAATGCATCAATCATAAATACGTAAGTAAACATTTGTAAATTACTGGGAGACTTATAATGCTCCGGGCTTGCCTCTCATGAAAGGAAGTGGGGACGGTGGTCAGGGCACTCCGGAAGCTCTTCAGGGTTCTGCTCCACGCCTTCGGGAGCTGCGGCTTGCGGATCCTCCTGCGGGTTCCCTTCCTCTGCTTCTTCGAATTCCAGCAACGTGATCTCTTCCTCCGATCCTAGATGCATGAATATGGTATAAGTATTATGAATGCATATATGTTAACAAGTGCATCACGTTGTTTGAGTAGGTGCATATCTCTTCTCGCTTACTACTTAACTACTTCTACAAGCATCGACTATGCCATAAATAAAGTATCCACTTGTTTCACTCATAACTGGAGTTCTACAATTCCAAATCTAGTGATCCTGGACTTTCTGGAAAGCTTATCAAATTTTCTACAACTTTGTTATTAACCATTTTTATAGTCTACATCAGTTTCAACATGTAACTCCTCATACTCTAGAATCAGTCCGAAAATGATTTATCATGCAATATAAAGTAATAGCACCTCTACTTTATGTAATCATCCACAAATTGACAACCTAGAACCTACCAACAGTTTAAGCATACCAAACATAGTTAAGATAATAAAATGGCAAAGCCCAAACTATTTATTAACTTGCCTTTATTATTTTATTTAGATATCTAGGTTAAATAATAAATATATATCAGATGGGCTGAATAAATTCTCAAAAATTTACAGAGCCTTAATAATGCTATCAAAGGACTACTATAAAAATTTCATGTCATTTTACCAAGTAGAACATTCTATACAAAATGACAAGGCAGCAAGGCTTGAAATAGCATAAATGGAAAATCCTATTGAAAAGTGTCAAACAACAGATTTCATATTTTTCTTAGCATCCATATGGTACTAGTATCACCTCCAATAAATTTCATGAATTTTGGACTCATAATTAATTTATAAAAATTCATGCAAGGATTAACTATTTATAAAAGAAAAATCTATAACTATAGATCTACACACGCACTGGTTCTAAAATTTTATCCAAGCTCATGTATGCTAAGAATAGCCTACCACAAAATTTCATAATTTTTGGAGCACAGGAACTCTAGATATAAAATAAACAAATTTAAATGCATTCAAAAGCACATTTGAAATCCCTATTTAAATCTCCAAAATTTCTACTGTTGAAGCCAAGAACATATTTTTCCTAAATACTACACTCCCTAAGGAACACAACCATATTTATTTCAACATTTTTGGAGCTACCAATCTGCAGATACAAAATAACAAAACCAATCAAAAGCTGGATTCAAAATGGTTTAGCCTACACACTATCTGTCGTTGTGGTGGGACCCGCTGGTCGGGGACCCCACGCGTCAGTGACACGGAGCAGAAGTAGCAAGCGCGCTTCTTTGAGCCTTCATGGCTGCGGCTCGACGACGGCGAAGCCCGGGCGGTGAGGTCATCGGTAGGACCTACATGACTGGCGAACCTATTGAGCCACTTTGGCGGCCTATTGCGACCCTAGAGCTAAGCGGCGCGGCCATGGCGAACGGCGCAGAGGTGGACCACGGCAAAACGCCGACGACGTCCTCGGTGGCCCGACCTAAGGCTCGGACGAGCACCGGGGTACTATGGCGGACCTATCGCGCTAGCTAACGCTAGAGAGGGAAGCGTGGCGCTGCTGGCCACGGTGGCAGGGCTTCATGGCGAACTCCGTGAGCATGTGCGTGTGGCGATGGCTTACCAAACGCGAATGGCGGCCTTTGGAAGGAGCTACGGGTCTTGGGGAGATGGTAGTGCTATTGCGGTATGGCGAAGGAGCAGCAAGGACGAGCTGGTGGCGGCTATGGCGACGGCGGAGGTGCGGGCCGAGCTTACTGTCGTCATGGCGAGGAAGACAGAGCGTAAAATGGAAATGAAGCGCTTGAAGGCGACTCGGGCGACGCCGGCGGGTTAAGGCCGCACCAGCGTGGCGTGGGCTGGCTTGTGTGGTCGGCGCTGGCATGACTGCCGCCACGCCGGGACACGCTGTGGCGCTACAAAAAAGCTCGAAAACCGGTCGGCCATGTTCATTCGCGATTCAGTTTCGTCGAGCGAGATGGCGAGCTCGATTGACGACGAGATTTTGCGCGAATTTCCCGCTAATCCGTCGCTCCAAAGCACAAGACGTCTAAACAAAATTTATAGCCCTATGTACCAGCTTCAATTGTTGTTCAATGATCGAGCTCTAATTCGCAATAGATACGGAGTAATCTCGTGCCCAACCTCAATTTGTCGATCGGTTAGTTGATCAAACACTTGAAAAAAATTCCTAAGTGTTGAAATTTGGATTTGCTTTGGTTTTGTGGGACCCATTCAAGCATGTTAGAAGCAAAATCAGTCCATGACTTAAAATGAAAGTTGTTCCTTATGTCAAATATTACAACTTTGCTTTAGTGAACTCCTCCATGCAAGGTCTCTAACACCTAGTTCAACTTTAGTCAAACATGTCACTTTGAAATCAAGATACACATTCAAACTATGGCTAAATGACCAATTTAGCCCTAGCCTAAATACCAAAGTTGTTCATGATGATACTCTAAGCATGTTAAAACAATTTGCAAGGTCATTCAAGCATTTCATGAAGTAGTCACACATATAGCCATTCAAGCCAACACATGAAATAACACTTAAATGCTTGATCAAGAAATGTGGTCTTCATGAACAAGGTTCCTTTTGTTAACCTAAGTGTAGCTAAGGTGTTGTAGTGACCGACATGACACACTAGCATTTGTTTGCACATGATCATATGCATATGTTACAAGGAACATGAAATAACAAGCAATGTTTCATATGTTTCGATCAGATGTTTCAATTGTAAATGATGATTTATGAATGCTTGATGCTCATGCTCATGTTATGCAAGTCAAGTTATGCAAGGCTAACACCCGAGGTGTTACAGCGTGTCGCTTTGCGGAGTAACTAGCGATCGGATCAAGAGAACGGGAACGACGACAAGGACTGTAGACTGGAGTCGACTCAGGAGGAGATGACCCCGCTAATGGAACACCAACGAATGGAGAATTGTACCACTACTACCTCTACATCGCAGGTGTCATGGCAGCACCCTCTTTTAGAGAATCCTATTAGACATTGCATAATATCTAGAACTGCTAGCGCTTTATAAATTATTCCTTTGCTAGTACATTGATGCATGCTACTACCTGAGCCATTATTACCCTGATGCAACCCACTCTACCACGTCACCCTGCTTTGCACATTCACTCGCTTATATATGCTTACTTGCCTGCTTGCTTGCATATTTACACCACTATACTTATTAATTAACTCCACTTCGCATTATGTCGGGGGATGTGATCTTTGGTGGTGAACAACCTAGGAATGGTTTGGCTATGTTTGCGGACTTGGTGGTGTGTGAGCGTCTTTGCGTGTGTCTTGGGTGCGTGGAGAGTGAGGGTTGTGTCGACCGAAGCTGGAATAACGGCGAGCCTAGGGCGAGTCTTGCCATGGTGCTACCAGGCACTTGGATATGGAATACTGTGGCGGGTAAAGGGTAATTGGAGGTGGCCTTGGGTGTGAACCTCGGAGAGGTGGAGCCAGGGTGGAGGTGTCTTTGTGGTGGCACAGTAAATGGAAACCCCGATGAAGACATTCGGCTTGGTCACCCCAAAGGACTTACTAGTACTCAGATTCACCGGGAATCATTTACATCCCACTCGCCCTATATGGTGCGGGACGGTCGGACTACTTGGTAGAGCGATGCCACTACTGCTAGGCGAACATGTGCAGGAGGTGCAGGGGTGCGCTGGTTTTCCCCACACCCTTCCGAGACTTCAGGAGGCCTTGTGGACCGGCTCTTGACATCCGGTGGGCCCCGGCTCTGTCTACGACTCACAGTATCAGCCATCCCAGACTAGACTTGGGATGTTCTAGGGCTGAGAGGTAGGGTGGCATCGTTCTAGGCTAGCAAGCGACTGGAATTCTACCTAGGAGATACATGGCTCCGAGGATGGCTAATCTTGTGGGTATGTGAAACCTCTGCAGAGTGTATGGTTGATCGATCGATACATATGCCGACTTGTCGGCTATGGACCTTTCCTGGGTTTCGCTTAAACTAGATAGGAGATGAGTCTTTCTATTCTCCCTCCAGGGTTTGGGGTATTTTCCGGTCGTGAGCCTTGGGGCTGCGGGCCGTTGAGACAAGGCCAAGAGGGAGTTGGCCTGTCGACCTGAGTGTGTAAGATGAGATAAGGTGTGTGGTGTGGAGATGGTTTGGGATGGATGGTTGGTGGATGGTTATGGATGGATGTGGATGTGTGTGGCTGTGAATGTGTTAAAAACTGGACATTACTATTACATTTCTACTGTTACTTACTTCGCATGCGCTAAGGATGCAAACCACAGCCAAATGTTAGGATCGCCAGATCCTCTTGTTTTACCTTTTCCACTAAAGCTCATCGGTGCTGACCATGGCCTACACACATCTGGCGGTGTGCAGATTTCTTGCTTCTCCGAGATGCTGACTAGAGAAGGATTAGGAGGTCTCGTGCCTACGCTCAAGTTTGGTTCGGAGATGGAATCTATGCTGCACTACGTCAACTCTAATAATGACCCGTGAAGGAGAAGCCTTCACTCGATAGTCTTCCGCTAGATTAACTCTGTAATAGGTGTATTCCCCAGTGATGTAATATCTTGTATTCTTGTAATCTTACGATGTATGACTGTGATATCGACTAATATATGATAATATGATGAAATCAACTATTGGTTTTATCATATTATAATTCATTCTGTGGATTTTCCCTTCGCGGAAAATTGAGGATGTTTCACCTGTCAGGTGGAAAATTTGAAACGGTGCTGAGCACACACCACACAAACCACAATAAATACCTACCTTATAACTTAACTTTTCAAGCGGATAGTACCTTCAGCTCCTCATAATGATGGAAGAGAAGCTCCCTTGCCACTGATGATATATTGTCTTGAATAACTGCAAACAGAACTCTGAATGATATCCATGGGGAAGTTGGTCCTTCACCTGTTTCACACATTACCTGCAAACAGATTGTTTGGTTGGATAAATGGAATACTACCATACAACAAAGCTAAAATCATTTGCCGTTGCAAGATGCACAGAGGAGGGATCATTGAACAGCAGAGCTGATATGAGAGCACGTTTCTGTTGTCCCATGGTAACCAATATTCAATAGACATGCATCTAACAGGAAAACCGATGGTGAACAAATAACAAGATTCAGGTTGCCTCACAGGTTGAAGTGTAGAAATATCCATTCCAACTTCCTTTAGTGATGGGTTAAACCATAAATCCTTCAAGTCAAGCAAATAATCTGAAAATAAGGGCACCAAATAGAATGTTAAGACTAACTTTCTCAATATGACATGATAAAGGTCATATTAATCATCTTACTTCGAACTTTTGGGACAAGCTTGAAACTAACAAGATATTCTAAACTGATGTGATGGCCACATCACATAACACTTTGGGTATGAACAATCATCAACACCAGAATCATATATCTCACTACTTGGAAAAGACTCTTGTGATCCAGGTTCAACAGCTTCCACATTGCCCAATATCACACGGCACAGCAACATATACTGCACTCCTTTTTCGTCAACATCGCAAAGACCGACACTGAAACAATTAACATGTGGCGTAAACATAATATTATATTAAGCAAATACAAAAACAGTAATCACAAAAACAGGGTTAAGGAGAACACACCTGGTAAAGGCTCGGTTTTCTGGTGAAAGATATACACCAGCACTCAAACCTGCTTTCTCAACAGGATTTGCAGTGGTACCCAAACCATTAATAAGAATCCTAACTATGTCACTCTTCCTAGATCCTAGCCATCCATACTTAACATTTGCATCACCACGTGCTTCTTTAGTTGACTTCATCTGTCTTTCAAAAGCTTCAAATCTACATTGTGCGGTGATATCGTTTGGAGAGTAGCGGTGGACATGAGTATGTTATTCGGTGTTGCAAACGGACTCATACCAGAGAGAAAAAGGTTCTGGACAAACAGAAAACCTTCGCTGCCTCTTTCGACAGATGTGATCTTCTTGCGCAAGACATCCACAGTCGAAGGTTTTTGAGGGACTGGGGGATTAAATTCAAGAACTACTTGCTTGACCACTTCAGATGGAGAATTCGCGACCTTATCTAACATTATTCCCTGTGCAGTGCTATCAACATTGCCAGAATTCTGTTTGGCCATTTCATCACTTTCCTCATCAAAGAACAAAGAAGGAAAGAAACGCTTGCCAGTGTCATCAAACCAGGCAACAGACCGCTGTTTTCTGGTTTTTAGGTTGACCAGGGTCATTGACAAGAAATCAACAAGAATTGGTTCATCATCCATCACAGACACAACACTTGATTTATTTCCTTTGAATTCATTGATGAGGGACTTCATTATTTGCTCTGGAAAATTGTGCCACGAACCCTTTTTGTAATACATGACACGGCATGGCGCTCCACTCTTCAGAAAATTGACACAATCATTGGCAAGGTTAGGTCGAGTGCAGCAACAGTTGCAGTGTTTAGCAAATGATGAATCGAATGAGGGCCCATTCTCAGATTTGACACAGCGAGATTTGCAGTCTTTTGACAGGCAGTCATCAACAAGCTTCCGCTTCAAGCACAGGGAATTGGATTCTTGCAGAGATGCCATGAGAAGCCTTGCTTTTAACTCCAAACAAATATGGAAACAAGAAAACTAAGCCCTAATATATATACAAGTTACAGGTCTCCCTTCATATCGACATCTCAGAGGTCCTGTATAAGATAATGAATGAATTTATCTCAAGCAGAAAACACAGTTCAATATTCTAGAAGTTCGCGAAATAATAAATGGAACATTAGTAACAGTGACGCTAGCATTCATAAAGCAAAAACTAAGTGGACAAGGAAGATCAATTGCATATAGCAAGCATCAATCATGCAAATAAAGAGTCTAATTGAGTTGTTTTATAAACAATGAATATCACAATCTGTGAGCATCAGGCAGTGTGCCTAGGATTGTTTTCTCCTAAAAAGGGTCCTAAGCAGGTATATCAGCTCCACAATTAGTTGTTGAAGCTGTTGGATTTATTATGGGCTAGGCCCATTTATAAATTTAATAAATCAATAACTCTATGGCTTGTTATTGTGGGTATTACTATTTGTACCGGATTGGAAGTTAAAAGGACGTTGACTCAACTTAAATGATTGGAATTAATCCGTCTAATTTGAGAAGTTGAGAAACGGACAAAGGCGTGCCACACGCGCGCGCGCGCGCAGCCGCCGCCGCCGGCCGGGCCGGGCCGGGCACGGGCCGTGGCGTGGCGTGGCGTGGCGTGGCGTGGCAGGCAGGCAGGCGTGGCGTGGCGTGGCGTGGCGTGTTATCTTTTTAATACCCACTAACCACGGGAGTTTCAACTTGAAGCCAGTCTGACTCCTGATCTCCCGGAGTCTCTCCACCTTCCCGTCCCGGCGCATTCCTCCGCCGTCCCGGCGCATTCCTCCGGGACCTCTCGGCTTTTCCTGTTAATCCTCCAACTCCAGTTAAAGAGAGAGTACTGATCCAGATATATAGTTCAGTTGCTAGATGGCCTTCCTCATCTCGTAACTCTGCGCGCACGGAGAAGCGAGAGGGCAGGTGCCTCCGAAGCCATTGTCGTTCGAGACCTTGCTCGGGGGATCGGCAATTAGGTTTTTGGGGAGCGTCTACGCGACTGCCCGAAGAGTCTCCGTCTTCCTACGCCTACGTCGTCTTCATCTTCTTCTTCTACGGCATGACAAGGGACGTTGCTGGAACTTCAGAATCGCGGATGGGAGGGTATGATTGTTTCATCATCTTTCTGTTTTATGTTCTACATGTTTCAGCAGTTCATCAGTTTGCTTCATATCTTATATCTGTTCATGCTAGAAATATGCTTATGTCTGTTCATGCTAGAAATATGCTCTGCATATGTGTTTCCTTCTTACAGTTCTGTTGTACCGTATATAGCTTTATGCTTGTTGCAGATATGAGATGTATATCATGCCATCTGTTCCTCTCTGTTATTCATGAATCAAGTTCTCATGCTTTTGATCTTTATAAGTTTCACATGATATATGATCTAGCATGTATTTTCACCATGGATATAATCGATATCATGATTACAATGATTAATAATTGTTTATATGTCATCATCATGCTGTTCATTTATGGAATTAAAATGACATGGAAATTGCCTATTATCCTAACAATCCAAAAACCTAATTTTGGGCATTTTTCTGTCAGAGGTTTTGCTGCCGTGTTAAAGCCTGATCCTTTTGATGGTAAAAACTTCTTGGTTTGGAAAGCTAAGATGGAATTGTGGCTCACTGCAATGTCATGTTATCATGTCTTTGAGGGCAAACCTGCTAACTTGTCTCCTGAGGATGAGGCTAAGTTTAAGGCTGATGACAACCTCTTTCGAGGTGCAGTGATTAGCGCACTTGATCCAAAATTCCAGAAAAGCTATATCATCCTTCCTACAGGGAAAGAGCTGTGGGATGCACTTGTTGGAAAGTTTGGAGTTACCGATGCTGGTAGCGAGCTGTATCTCATGGAGCAGCTGTATGACTATAAGATGGTTGAGAACCGATCTGTAGTGGAACAGGCTCATGAGATTCAGGCACTAGCTAAGGAACTTGAGCTTTTTCCATGTGTCTTACCTGACAAGTTTGTGGCTGGCGGTATAATCGCCAAGTTACCACCTTCTTGGAAGGACTTTGCTACCTCACTCAAACATAAGAGACAGGAGTTCAATGTGGAAGAGCTCATTGGTACTCTTGATGTTGAGGAAAGAGCGAGAGCAAAAGACAATGGAAAGAGCGTTGAGACCTCTACTGCTAATGTGGTGCAGAAGAGAAACTCTGGATTCCGCAAGTTTAACAAGAAGAAGAAAAACCAGAATAAGCAAGAGAACACAACTAAGCCTGTTCAAACAGCACAGTTTAAAAAGAAGAACAACAACAAGAGAGATGGAGGCTGCTTTGTTTGTGGCGTTGAACGACCTTTGGGCAAGTGAGTGCCACGAGCGCAAGTTCAAGCAGGAAAAGAAATCAGCAAATGTTGTCACTCGATCTTGTGAGAAGGAGCATCCGGGTATGGTAATTCTTTACCATTTGTTCTTTCGAGTATGTAATTCACGAGTGGTGGATGGATAGTGGTGCAAATATACATGTGTGTCTTGATGTTTCTCTCTTTTCTTCCTACCGGTCGAGAGGTCCTGGCGCCTTGTTGATGGGAAATGGGTCGCGTGCTCATGTTCTTGGTGTTGGTACGGTCACTCTGAAGTTTACTTGGGAAAGAGCGGTGCCATTGAAGAGCGCAAACATGTGCCCTCCATCAAGAAGAATCTTGTTAGTGCATCTATGCTATGTCGAGATGGCTACAAAATTGTTCTAGAGTCGAATAAATGTGTTGTGTCGAAACATGGTTCCTTTGTTGGTAAAGGATATGATTGCGGAGGCTTGTTCCGCTTATCAACGCATGATGTGTGTAATAAAATGGTGAATTATGTTAATATTTACGATGAGTCGGATTTATGGCATTCACGTTTTACATCATGCAAGTTTTGACTGTCTTATGCGGTTAGCAAATCTAAATTTAATTCCTAAATTCAATTTGGTCAAAAAAGTCTAAGTGCCATGTATGTGTTGAATCAAAACAACCCCGCTTAAGCCTCACAAGGTCTTTGAGGCGAGGAATTTAGCACCTCTAGAACTTGTCAATTACGATTTATGCGAAATGAATGGAATTTTGACTAAAGGCGGTAAAAGATACTTCATCACTTTTATAGATGACTCCACCAGGTTTTGCTATGTGTATCTCTTAAAACAAAAGATGAAGCGTTTAATTATTTTAAGACCTATAAAGCTGAAGTTGAGAATCAACTTGAGAGGAAAATAAAGCGGTTAAGGTCCGATCGAGGTGGAGAATATTTCTCTAATGTTTTTGATGAGTTCTGTGTGGAACATGGTATTGTTCATGAGAGGACACCGCCATTCTCACCACAATCCAATGGGATTCTTTGAAAGGAAAAACCGCACTCTATGAGTTAGTGAATTCCATGTTGAGTCTGGTGGGATTATCCAAGGAATGGTGGGGTGAGGCAATTTTGACAGCATGTCATGTCCTGAACAGAGTCCCAACAAAGAACAAAGAAATCACACCATTTGAGGAATGGGAAAAGAGAAGATTAAATCTCTCATATTTGCGCTCTTGGGGTTGCTTGGCTAAAGTAAATGTGCCAATCAACAAAAAGCGTAAACTTGGGGGCCTAAAGCTGTTGATTGTATTTTCCTTGGCTATGCCTTTCAAGCATTGGTTATAGGTTCTTAATTATAAAATCTGAAGTTTCGATATGTATGTTGATACAATCATGGAATCAAGAGATGCTACTTTCTTTGAGAATGAATTTCCAATGAAAAATACACCTAGTGAAACAAGTCATGAGACTATAATTCCCCATGAACACGAACTGTCTATTCCAACAGATCATGTGAAGATTTTCATGTGCACATCCACGAGAAGGATGACACTATAGTCACTCGAAAGAGCAAGAGACAGAGGGTTGCAAAATCCTTTGGTGATGACTATTTAGTGTACCTTGTGGAAGACATACCAACCACCATTAGAGAGGCATATTCTTCTCCCGATCTTTGACTTGTGGAAGGAAGCGATGAAGGAGTGAGATGGATTCTATTATGTCTAATGGAACTTGGGAGGTCGTTGACCGTCCTTATGGTTGTCAACCTATAGGTTGCAAATGGATTTTCAAGAAAAGCTTAGGCCTGATGGTACAATTGAGAGGTACAAGGCAAGGCTTGTGGCCAAAGGATATACCAAAAAGAGGGTGAAGATTTCTTTGACACCTATTCACCGCTTGCTCGATTGACTACAATTCGCACCTTAATTGCCGTGGTTGCCTCTTATGGTCTTATCATTCATCGGATGGATGTTAAGATGCTTTTCTGAATGGAGAGTTAGAAGAGGAGATCTATATGGATCACCCGGAAGGGTTCATTGCGGATGGTCAAGAGAACAAGGTGTGCAGGTTGTTAAAATCATTATATGGCCTAAAACAAGCACCTAAGCAATGGCATGAAAGGTTTGATAATACTCTCACATCTTCCGGTTTCTCTGTGAATGAAGCTGACACATGTGTGTATTATCGATATGGTGGGGGTGAAGCTGTTATGCTGTGCCTATATGTTGATGACATCCTGATCTTTGGATCAAATCTCAATGTGATTGAGGAAGTAAAGAAACTTCTGTCGAGCAATTTTGAAATGAAAGATTTGGGAGAAGCTAATGTTATTTTAAACATCAAGCTAATTAGAGAAGGTGATGGTGGCATAAGTCTGTTACAATCCCACTATGTGGAAAAGGTACTAAGTCGCTTTGATTTTAGTGACTGTGATCCTGCTCCCACGCCTTATGGTCCTAGCGTGCTATTGAGGAAAAATCGAAGAATAGCAAGGGATCAACTAACATACTCCCAGATCATTGGCTCACTCATGTACCTGGCGAGTGCAACAAGGCCTGACATCTCATATGCTGTGAGTAAGCTGAGCCGGTTTGTGTCAAACCCGGGAGATGATCACTGGCATGCTCTTGAGAGAGTGTTGCGTTATCTGAAAGGTACTATGACTTATGGT